TTTCCCCAGCATAGAAACGCATCCCTGGGCTCCTTGGGAGAAGGACTCACAGACACCCCTTAGATAGTAAATGTTTGATGAAGGACAAACAGCTGGATACCTTTATCAAAGGGTGAAATCATGATGAGCAGGAATTGATCTAAAGCAACGGTTCTCAACCTGTGGGTCACTACCCCTTTGGGGGTCGAACGACCCTTTCACAGGGGTCGCCTAAGACCATCGGAAAACACATATATAATTACATATTGTTTTTGTGATTAATCACTATGCTTTAATTATGTTCAATTTGTAACAATGAAATTGGGGGTCACCACAACATGAGGAACTGTATTAAAGGGTCACAGCATTAGGAAGGTTGAGAACCACTGATCTAAAGTCAAGATAGTACAAAAAGGAGAGTTTTATTACCTGCCTGTCCCCACCTTCTGATCCCCGACATCTTAAAAGCTGCAGTCTCCACAAAACGTGCAGCTCACTCTGAGTCTCTCTGCATTGGCGCTAACATCATCACTCGAGTCCCCTTCACCAGCCAACACAGGTCAAAACATCTGCCACAAAAATAAACAGAAGAAGGAGGGTCCAGGGCCATGGCATGACTCCATCTACTCCGCCTGTTGCAGAATTCTCTCGGCTCAGGGCAAAAGGCAGCTGTTGGCTGAGAGGGTCACCATTACCGTATACGAACAAACAAAGCCCACTGGGAAAGAGTGCTGCTCTCAGTGGCTGAAGCACAGGAGCCCCCAGAGCGCGGGGAACACATGCAGTAAGGAGACTGTAATGGACTTTATAACGCTTAAAGGACATGATTTCAAAGGCAACAGAGCTTTAATTTAGAGGCAAATCGGTGCTCCTTGGGTCAGCCTTAAACACACCATGGGTGTCTAATCTGTCAGAGTGCGATTTAAAGAAAGGCTCTCCATCCCCAGCTGGTGTGGTTCAGTGGTTTAGTGTTGACCTGTGAACCAGGAGGTCATGGATCAATTCCCAGCCTGGACTGCAGGTTCGATCCCCAGTAGGGGGCATGCAGGAGGCAGCTGATCAATGATTCTCTCATTATTGGTGTTTCTAACTCTCCCTCTCCCTTCCTCTCTCTGAAGTAATAAAAAAAAAAAAAGAAAGAAAACGAAAGCTCTCCCACATACACAGCGAGCACCCATGGAAGATTTATCTCACTCACTAATGAGAGAACCAGCAATATGATTGAGTTGGTACAAAGAGCATTTGGGGAGCTGGGTAGTTAGAAGCATGGAAAGGAAAGATGAAATAAGATCGCTAAGTTACATAGAAAATTTGTTAATGTCCTCCAGGCAACACCACCATGAGGTTTGCAGTTCTCTTTTCTAGGATCGGGAATCATTTGCATACCTTTTGGGCAGAAACCCACACGTGCACACGTAACTCCATGGTTATGGCACTGCTCAGTAAATAACATGTCCAACATAGATGTGTTTTGTAAAGAACTAAATAACCCTCATGTGGGCCTATTAGACCCTGCCCCAGTGTGACATGGAAGGGATAACAGCCACCCTTTTGCTTTATTTACAAGGCTTTTCAAAATAATGTTTCTTAGCAGAATATTAGAAAAGTGGAAATGAAATTACCATTATTTGCAAATGATATTATATATACGTGGATAATTCAAGGGAGTCACAGAAGCCTTTAGAGCTGGTAATAGGCTGACCTGGACCCCCAATTCATGTGTTGGGATTGTAACCCCAGGATCTCAGAACGTAGCTGTATGTGGAGTTCTGCCTTTACAGAGGTGGTGGACCCTAGTCCACTGTGACTGTGTCCTGCAGGAAGAGGTGATCTGGACACAGACATGTACAGAGAACGACCACATGGGGAAGACGGCTGTCTACGTGCTCAGGAGAAACCAACCCTGCAGACACTGATCTCAGACTTCCAGCCTCTGGACTGTGAGGCAGTGAATGTCTGTGGTATGAGTCCCCCAGTGTGTGGCACTTTGTTACACAGCAGCCTTAGCTGACTGATACTCAGGGCCAGCGTGTCTGACCGTGGAGAGAGCCCCAGAGGCAGTGGGCTGGGATGTATCCACACGCCATTGCCCTTCACCTCCTCATGTGAGCCTGCATCCCTCAGGAGCAAGGGGCCTTCCCTGCCACCGCCGGCACCAGCAGCTGTGTCCCCCGGGGCCTGTTCCCTAAGTCACAGGCAGGCACGTCAGGCCAGCTGCTCCCTGAGCAAGGGCTTCAGACTGTACAAAATGTACAAATGTAAAATGCACACATGTAAAGTGTTACAGTGGACTGTTCACATTTGGAAGAAAATGCACAGAACATCAGACAGCGACTTTACCAAGAAACATGCATGATCTACGCACAAGAGGCTGGAGGTGCTCAGTGAGGTGTGAAGTCTCCCGACTAAATAGTAAATTCAACCCAACTCAATTAATAAAGTGAGAGAATTCTTTACTTGAAAAGTTGATTCTACAATTTCTACTGGAGGTACAAATAGGTAACAAATGCCAAGACCAATCAGGGACCGGGGTGGGGACTTCTGTCCATAGAAGCCAGCTCTGGGAGCACAGTTCCTTTTCCACCTGAGGCTGAGTGTCCCTGGCTGAGCGGAGAGAACAAAGCAGAGCAGAGCTGTCTAATGCAGAGAGGCCTGGCCCCAGGGCTGCCCCACAGCCATGCTGTACGTAGTTGAGCTGTTTTGCACTGAATAGTTTTTCCTCTTCACCATACCCCAAGTTGGGGAGCCAACAACCATCAGTTGTCAGCACATAGTCAACATTCCACCTCTCCTGAGGCTGGAAGCACTAGGGGGATCATGAGACAGCTGTGACTGACGGTCAGAATCCAGGAAAGTCAGCATTTCCCCAAGGGCCACTCTGATGGGAAAATGACTCTTGGCAGTGGGTCCAAAGAGACGTTCCCACCCGCAGGAGCAGAGTTAGGGCCACCTGGTCCTCAGAGCATCTAGGTGCTATTTTCAAGAAAAGTGGTGTTTTTATTAAGAAAGTTATCGTTTCCTACAACCTCAGGCCTCAGTGATAGATATAAGGAGGCCCTGGGATGGCCCCGAGGTCTAGGCCCGTGGTCGGCAAACTGCGGCTTGAGGGCCACATGCGGCTCTTTGGCCGCTTGAGTGTGGCTCTTCCTAAGCCTTAGGAGTACCCTAATTAAGTTAATAGCAATGTACCTACCTATATAGTTTAAGTTTAAAAAATTTGGCTCTCAAAAGAAATTTCAATCGTTGTACTGTTGATATTTGGCTCTGTTGACCAATGAGTTTGCCGGCCACTGAGCTAGGCACCTCTCTCCATCGTCAAAGCAAGCAGGTCTTTGTGTTGCCTGCTTATCATCCTTTTGAACCTGTCCTGGCAAAGGCATGTGTATAATGCTAAGTAACAAACTAAAGGAATATGAAATACTCCACCAGCATATTACAAATTCTGTACAAACCTGTAGTGTGTGTATATTCTCACAAGTGCTCTAAAGGTGGAGATTATAATAGAAACTTTATATGTAGAAAAACAGGGGCTCTGAAACTTAAGATTCTTGTCTGAGACCACACAGCAAGTGGAAGGCCCATAACTAAGAGTTAATAGAGCTCCTGGCCCACGGCCCTGGGGACACTGAGTAACTCGAGGAATCAGGAAGGGAAGTTCAGGTGCATGTGGACCCTGTCGACCTTCATAGTTGACCCACGGGAGGGTCAAGGCTGTCATAGTAATATATAGAAAGGTTCAAAAATGCTTTAAAAATGCCTGAAAAATATTAAGAAGGTTTTAAAATGTTTAAATTAACTTTCCTTGAAACTTAAAGTGTGATATTAAGAACACATTCCCCACTGCCCTGAAGCATGTGTACCTCACAGATAAGGATTTGAACTTCAGTAAATAACTCAGAGTGACTTGTCAGGATAACCACTTGAGTGAATGATGTACTCTCCCTAGATAACCACATGTAGCCCCTCTCCCTGTTTGAGATAAACATGTGTGCATTGACCTAACTCATTGATAGCCACCTGGACTGCTGCAAATGGGGTGCAGGCTTTAAAAATGGGGATCCTGACCAGCCCAGTGCTCGCCTGTCGAGATAGCCACAAAGGCACGTCCTCTTGTCAGTCCAGCAAGTAATGCTGCTCCACGTTCCTCTTCCTGCCAGATGACAGAAGAACGGCCAACACCTCCTGATTGAGACTCGACCGAGCTCTCGTGTGAGGAACGCCGGGCCCCTGCATCCAGACCGGACAAGCCCAGCTGGTGGACCCCAGAGGACAGCACCACCAGGATCCCCAATAAGCCTGTACCCGCAGCACCAGAAATTGTGTGAGTAATAAAGTGCTGTGTGATTTGCAACTGCATATGTTTCACATGTTGTAATTCCTCCAGCAGTTAATTGAATTATTTTGCGTACGCTTAAAATTTAAATGAAAGCTTCTGGTCTTTTTGGTCCTAACCCTGCCCCTTGGTCCTGCTTGCGTAGAGCAGCCTCTTCACTAGCAACTACTTGAATGTCCCACACCTACACAGTTAAAGTTTATCTCAAGGAACGCCTTAGATAAATACCCCAGATCCTTTCCCAGGATCTACTTGGGACAATGGCCATTGGCACTGTTGGATGCCACTCAGCTACTCCGCCAGGTGGGAGTCACCACACAGGCTTGTAGTCAGTGCGTCTGTCTCTCCGTGTCTGAACCAGCCCCAGAGCTTCCCGAGAAGGCACATCCCAGTGGACACCTGGCGGGAGGGCGTGTCTCCCTGCTCCGCGCCTTGTTCGGGGACCACAGGCTGCCCGTTCACGCTCCCAGGGGACTTTAGTCCATTTGAGCGCTGCATCGAAGCGAACTTCCATGTTATAAAACCATGAATTATTAAAGAGCACTCAGGAATTTTGTGTTCCATTTGTACAAATCAATGAGCAGAGGGCTACATTCAACCTTTGCTTTGCTACTTGTGTTTATAAAGGCAATGCAAGCCAACAATATCAAACATACACAGAGAGCAATCCTAGTCACGCCAGCAGTAAATCTAAAAATGGCCTCTGTAAATCTATATGAAGCAAAGGACTAGTCAGTTGGTAGATAGATTTTCTTTTTAATTTTTGCGGATGTTTTCAAAGGTACACAGGAGCACAAAGACTCACGGAGCCCATCCCCCACATCTAGATGGAGCGCCATGTGGCACCTGTTCTTCCTGCGTTAACTGTTCTTAGAACCACAATATGTTCAGATAAATGAACTGAAGAGCCGAATAAATGCAAAGATTATGCAAATGTATGTGGGTACTAAATGTGAATGTTATAAACATGACAATAATTATTCAATAAGATCGACATTATCAAAATAATTCTAGAATTTAGACAGACAAAAACAAACACATTAAAATGGCCCAAAGCATTTGAAAGCCGGGCCGGGCTGGTGAGCTCCGTGTTAAACTGTAAAGCCACAGAAAGCACCGTTAGAAAAAGCAGACCCTTCTTATAATTTTAGGGCAGGGAAGGGCTTTCTGAGCCTAACACCAAAAAGCCATTAAGAAAAATATTAACTAATCTGATCTTACAAAAATTTTAAAAATATTCACACATTTATAAATCGAAAAGAATTTAAAGACAAACTATTATAATTATTAGTATGCAAATCTGGTCAACTTGCCTGGTATGAAATTAGTGTGCATAAATCAACTGTATTTCCATGTGAAGAAAAACACAGATAGAAAACAAAATTTACCAAAGACAGAATTTATCTGGGAATCAATCCAACAGAAGATGTATAGAACTTTTACACAGAAATCTGCAAAGTGCCATTGAGAGAAATTGAAAGTTTCAAAGATAAACAAGACCTCCTCTGTAACGTGGGAGTGAGAGACATTTTAAAAGTTCTAAATGAATGGGAAGCTTTTGGTGCGTTCTCCCCAAATCATCTGTAAACTCCACAGAGCCCCAGTTAAACCCCAGCAGATAGCGCCTGCAGAAATTCACATGGTGACTCAAAACTCAGATGCGTCCCAGATAATCCGGTGGGTGGGGAGGGAGAGTGAAGCTTATTGTAAAACAGAGTATATTAGGAAACTATAGTGACTGAGCAAGTGTGATTTGCACAAGGACAGACAAACTGCCCGGTGCTTCAGAATACGGTCCAGAAGTAGACACACACAGCGCTGGGGTGGGGAAAGGGCTTTGTTTCATAAACAGCCGAGGCCCTATCTGTGGCGATAAAGGCATGTTGTGCACTCGAGCAAATTGTCTTCTAGAAAAAGCTGTGCTCACTCACAACCTATTAAATTCCTGACCACCTCCCTGTCGGGTCAGCTGTTAACTCTTTCCTAACCTGGTTGTTCTGGTTTTGGGAGGTTTCCGTGTCTTCATGGAGCACTTGGGCTGCTTTTTTAACAATCGCCTCTTCGCGTCCACTGCCCGGCTTTCTGTTGGGATGGTCACCGCTTCTCTTGGTGACTTGGCGTATACTTTATAATCTCTCTACGTATTAAAGATGTGTTTCTTTTTTTTAATTATTGTCTAAAGTTTTATATATGTCTCCTTTTTCCCCAATTGACCTCCCTCCCTAAGAAACCAGAAACACCAATCAGAAAGGTTATATGCACCCCTATGTTCATAGCAGCACAGTGCTGATGCTGGTGGCAGGTAGCATGGGTGCTGGGTGCTTAGATGCTGCGTCAGGTGGCTCCAAGGGGCAGCTTCTACAGGCCCAGCCCCGCAGTGACCAGTGGACGTAGGGACATGCAACCCAACCCCTGGGCCCGATTCAGGTGCCTCCGAAGGGCCACCTGCCTCAGGCCTCTCTGTGGGCCCGACTGGGGCCTTTGTGGAGACTGCATGCCCCGTGTGGAGACTGCCTCTCTCCTCGCCTGCCTCCTCGGGGTGGCTCCCCAGAGGGCCCCCCCCCCCCAGCAAACCTGCTGCCTGCTCACCTCCACCTCGGAGACCGCACCTGGGAGAGCCCTGCCACAGCGCTTCAAGCATAAAGAAGCCCTTACGTTGTCAATCCTGTTCATCCGCTTTACGGGTTTTGCATCTGTGAAATCCTTAGAAGGTTTTCCTGCGTTCCCGCAGTGACGTGAATATTAAATATTTACACTTGGAGCAATATGGCACCTGGCGTGTAATGTAGAGAATCGAACTCCATTGCTTTCCCCAAGGCTCTGGCAGGCGCAGTGCCGCTTATTGAACAATCAATCCCTGTGCCACTGATTTGAAATATCACCTTAATAACAGAGTAAATCAGTAAGGGATTTGGATTTGCTTCTGGCTTCCTGGTACATTAGGCTGGTCTCGTCCTGCGCCAGCCACGCTGCTGGGGTCCCACAGCCTCTGCGTCTCCCCACTAGGACCAGGCCCTGGCTCCTCCCAGGGAATGGCCACCATGTGTTTTATTTGTAAAGTCGACAGTCCTCCCTGCTCACATCTGTGGGCCCCAGTCCAGCCTGGCCACACCATCAAAGTCAGTCCTTGACGTCTGTGTACTGACTGGTGATAGTGACATGTCCCAGGACCCCAGCACAGCGCGTGGGCACAGAGGAACGCCCAGGACCTGTCCCTTAACCAGGCGGGAAGAATTTTGACTCCTGAGCGGTCCCGCCAGCCCACACTGTCTCCCAGGCAGATACCTGTGTCGGGACAGATTGCAGACAAATGTCCTCTCTCCCACCGCTGCTCAGTGCAGACCCCTTGTCCACTCTGCATTCAGGTTAAGCGAATCCTGTTCAGACTTTGGACCCCACTGACCTTAGGAGGGCCCAACGGTGTTGCCCCAGTGACTAGGGCCGGTCACTGCCCAGTCCTGTCTCCCTCACGATGCAGGGAAGACTGGTGGATGGGGAGGAGGCCTCGCTCACCCAGCCACCCCCTCCAGGCAGACACCGGCCTCCTCAGCACCGCTCACCTGCGGGACCTGGAGTGCATTATTCCGGGTGCACTGAGGCTGCTGCCAATCTGTTGCTGTCAGTATTGTCTCTGCGGTGTGGTTTGCTCTTGGACCATCTTCTAGGAGGCTTCTCAAGTGTGAGATGGTGAACGTGAGTGTTGGCGATCCATGGGATATCCTGGTGGCCCGGGGGGCCAGGCTGTGCCTCCTCAGTCTTTGCTCTTGGCAGAGGAGGGAGAGGGTAGACCCAACAGTGCAGCTGGCCCCCACAGCGGGTCTGGGGCCCCGCGTGAGGCCCTCTCTTCCTGCTCATGGGCCCTGCTCCCTCCTGTGCACCCACCGGAGTCTGAGCAGTGAACGGCCCTGCCTCTGTCAGGAGGCCTGTGTGGATCAACATGGAATAAGGGGATGTATGGACCCTGGAGGAGCCACTGCTCTCCCAGAGCTGCAAGAGTTGTGAGGGTCCCCTGCCGCCCCCCCCCCCACGTGAGTATACATACCCCCAGATGTCACTCTCCTGTCTGTGGCCACAGCCCTCACTTTCAAGGCAGAATCCAAAATAACCCCAGGTGAGAATGAGACCCACAGGAGGAGTAATTTCCCCAGATTCTCCCCTTCCTCTGTACCTTAGACTCGGCTGGCCCACAGGAATCCAGAGGGGCTGGGAACGTGGGCTTGGGGGGCCCTGGGGCCGTTCTCCAGGAGAGCTCTGCTTGCTCTCAGAGGCAGTGTTTAAGCCTTGTTTTGTGAGACATGAATCCAGGCAGAGATTAAAAATAATAACACAACAACACTGAGGTGACCAGATAAAAAGGGGGGGAGGTGGCTGAGGATCGTCTACCACAGATGAAAGAGAGCAGGGGCAGGGCCCCCCCCCAGGGCCCCCCAGGGCAGATGGAGGTGGCCAGTGGTCAGTTTTGGACCCGCTCACCTGCCTGGTCACAGGAGACTCCTTTCCTTGGGATAAAAGCGAGACCCGCCTGCCTAGCAGGGCTGAGCGAGGATCAAAGACAAAAGCTGCTTTGCGTCAGAGTATCGATCATGTAACTCCTTTTTAAACCCTTCCACTGTGAGATAATTTCAGACTTAAAGAAAAATGGCAAAAAGTAACCCCGAGTCCCCGTGTGCCCCTCCCCCATCCCCCCCCCCCCCCAATGTTGACGTCTGGGATCGCCATGGCGCAATGATCAAAACTGAGAGATTCACATCAGCCCGATGGTATTACCTAAATGACGAACGCTGTTTGGATCTCATGTTTTCCACAAATGTCCTGTTCCCGCTCCAGGATCTCACATTGCACGGAGCGGCTCTGCATGACTTCCTGTAGAACGCCTCCAAGAACTGGTTTATTTTCTCAGGGAGTCTTTCGAAGGACCTCTCACCACCTCATGAGGAAGAAGTGAGGGGTGTGGGTGTCCTTAGGGACAACCAGTTACACAATAAGGCAAATATCCCGGCGCCTATGCCGAGGGGTATCTGACCCAGCTTTGTAACTAGCTAGGGGACGTCTGGAATCTGACAGCCACAAGGCAGCCTCGGGTCGCTGCCGTCCGTGGGGACACAGGGAAGAGCCTGGTTTTTCTCCTGGCGGGTACCGACAGCTGCCTGCTCAGCCATGGGTCACATAACACAGTCCTTTGGAAAGGGTCCTAGAACTGCCCTGAGCTCAAGAAGGACGACAAATAAAATCTGGAGCCCATTAGGATACACGGATGCATCGGAGGCCAAGTTTGACTGCCCGGTCCGTCGCTGAAACGGTAAACCATCTGTGGGAAGGCTCGGGCTCTCTGGGGTTGCCAAAGACACCAGGCGGCTTCCAAACATTCGGGGACAACTGGAAAGTCTGTCTACCCTCAGCGTCACCACGCGAAACTTCAAAGCAGAGGCTGCCGGCCCGAGGCTTCCCACTTTCAGGATGGCGGGTCAGGTGGACCAAGCCCATGGCCAGGTGCCTGCTGAGCGTGGTTGAGGAGTCAAAATTCCACCGGAGATGAAAACACAGCCCTGGTCTCAGAGCCTTTGCCCTGAGAGCCGGTGGTTTATGACCTGGAAAAGCTGTACGTACGAACTCCCAAGGACTCAGTTGGTCCAGGCTCAGAGAAGTCAGGCAGGAAACACAAAGGAGATGAAATAGAGGAGGCTCGGTTCAGTTTCCCATCTCGCTGGGCTGTGGGTGGGCACACCTGTCCCCTCGGTGCTTCCATCCCCTCACCAGGTGGCCCGTCCCCAGCACAGCGGGCTTCCCTCCGTGCACCCTTCCGGCTGCCTGTCCCCTGCCCAGATGCCCCGGCCCATCTCTGCTGCCCGAAGACCTGCTGCTTGTCCTTCCAGACCCAGCTCCCTTGCCGCCCCCCGCCCATGTGTCCTGCACTAAGGGGTGCCCTCCCAGCTTGTTGCTGGGTATCCTGAAAGCTCTTGTGCATTTCAGAGAAATTCTGTGTCTGCCTAGGGGTCCCCATCCAGCTCGTGTTTGACGCTTGTGTCCCAGCCCTGAGCACAGGGACCCAGTGGGTGTCCCTGGAAGCTGGTTGGACGAAGGGGCAAGGGGAGCAGAGGAGCATGCTGTTTCCCTGGGGAATGGCACTAGTAGGTAGGATGACTCGTTGCTACATCTGAGGAGCTCAGAGCAAAACTTCAGTTAACTGTGGGAGAAGGAAGACGGAGCCCTCAGCACTCAGAGCCCTTCACCCCTTCCCCACAGACCTCGGAAACGCCCAGACCAGCTGCCCGCGTGCCGTGTCAGGAAGCAGAGCCCTGAAAAGGGAAAATGCCCCAGAGACACGAAACGCCGCGTCTACAGATGCCTCTTCAACAGTTAGGGACAAATCCTTAAACACCGGAGGTGCCCGGAGCACCCACGTGGGCCCAGGGCTGGAGGCCAAGACTGAGCTCAGCGCTGAGCTGATGCTCCTCAAGGACAGGGGACCCTCGGAGACACGAGCTGTGTGGGAAACATCCCAGGAGTGATTTCAGGGGTGGCAGCGGGATCGTTCTTGTCAGATACTCGATGTAGCTCGGTATCTTCAAAGCTTGACGCTGTGGTGCAAACGTCGGTTCCACGCCAGCGATTGTTGGGGGCCCGATCCGTCCCTGGTGCTGCTTCCAGTGCTCCGGACCTGGGTGAACAGAACAGGACCCGGGACCTGCCCTCCAGCACGAAGCTTTCTGAGCGCCATCGGCAGGTCCATGTGCAGCTGTGGGGCCGACAGGCTCAGGGAGGCCTTCTCTGTCACAATCTTGGTCAGAGTCCATGGGCACCTGTGGGGAAGAGTGGGGCGAGACCTAAAAATGCAAACTTGCCCTGAGGCTCCCAGAAATGGAGACCCAGGAGGCCATCATGGGGACTCACTCTTGCTGCTTTGTCACGCCCACCCCTGCTGGCTGGAGACACCGTCTTCTTTGGATGACAAACAGAATCTGTGGGTCAGGCCTGAGTGACCTCTTGAGCCTTCAAGGCCACAACAGGCAGCAGCAGCAAGACTGGCCTGCCAGCCCTGCGGGAGGGGCAGCCGAGGGTCTTGCCCAGGTGACAACCCATGGGACCCTCCACACAGGCCACGCTGGACCTTCCCGAGAAGAGAGGATGGGCCAGAGCTGCTGTGGAGCCCCGCTTGCTGGGGAGCTGTGCCCACCCAGACTCGGGCGAGACAGCCAGCTCCCTGCTCGGCTGCAAGAAGCCGCCAACACCTCCAGTTCGGCGCTGATTAGCAACAGTGTGTTTAATAGAAATTTCAAGGTTCATTACGGAATGTGGATTAATTAAATTGAGAGGGAAGATAATGAAAAATATTCCCACTGGACACATAAAAGAGCAGCCCTGCTGTGGCAGGAGGAGTGGATGGAAATGTGCGGACCTACTAGACCCCCCACGTTTGCCACTTGGAAATGCACGCAGTGTTCCTGCTGTTTCCTCTAGAGCAGTGGCTCTCAACCTGTGGGTCACCAACCTGTGGGTCGCGACCCCTTTGGGGGTCGAACGACCCTTTCACAAGGGTCGCCTAAGACCATTGGAAAACACATAGATAATTACATATTGTTTTTGAGATTAATCACTATGCTTTAATTATGTTCAATTTGTAACAATGAAAATACATCCTGCATATCAGATATTTACATTACGATTCATAACAGCAGCAAAATTACAGTTATGAAGTAGCAACGACAATAATTTTATGGTTGGGGGTCACCACAACATGAGGAACTGTATTAAAGGGTCGCGGCATTAGGAAGGTTGAGAACCACTGCTCTAGAGCAAAGATGGTGGCAGAGTCCCCTGGGCCCGGGACAGCCGCGGGGACGCGCGGCCTCCCTCATGTTCTCCTTTGGCATTCCGGCTGAGTCAGGCTGCCCCCGCCCCAGGCCTAGCATCACAGGAGAGGTCCTTGGCTGGTGTCCCCGGGGACCTTGGAGCTGGCCAATTCCTCATCGCTTTCTTTACCAAGGGTTCTGGGAGGGAGGGAAGGAAGAGAACTGGGCAGACTCTTTGCTCTGAGCACAGTCTGGGGGAGCAGGGCGGCTGGTGACCCCAAAGGTGCTGCTGGTCCTGGATCCTGGAACTGTCCTGAGTCTTCAGGGAATGCTGGCAAAGTTGGCTCCGAACTTACTGACCAACCTGTTGGAGCACAAGGAGCTGATTGAGTTAAAATACACACACACCTACATACTGAGACTTAACTCCCAGTCTCCTGGTGATCGGTGGAGCACTCTTTGCCAGCACCACACACACTCTGCCCTGTGCGTTCATTGTTATTCTCATGAGAGGCTGGCCATCAGTGGGCTGTGGGGCCTCGGCTCACTCTCACGGAAGAAGTTGCCCCTCTGGACCTTTTAGGAGACCTCCCGAAGGCCCCTGGGGGCCCATTGCCAAGTCTATGGGGGCAGGCAGGTGGGAATATTCTGATGGCCTCAGTCAGGACAGGATACGGATTTGGCCTGGGCCAAGGAGTGCATATGGGAGGCAACCAATGGATGTGTCTCTCTCACATTGATGTTTCTCTCTCTCCCCGCTTCTTCTCCCCTCCTTTCCACTCTCTCTGAAAAGCAATGGGAAAACTATCCTCAGGTAAAGATTAACAAACAAAACAAGAAAGAAAAAGAAAACTCTGTGGTAACAGGCTTTGCTCCTGCTGCTCCTC